GCCGCCGCCCCCTTCGCATCCGCCCAGTCTCCTCACTACGTCCCACTCCTCCTCTGGCAGCAGCAGCCATCACCACCAATTTCAGCTCCAGCATAACAAAGCCAAGGATTTTTCACCTCCACTGAGCAACGGCAGCAGCAGCAGCAGTGGCAGTAGCGGCTCTGATCGTCCCAGGCACAACAGCAGTAATCAACAGCAGCAGGCTCTGAAGCGAGTGGGTAGTGGAGTTGGTAATTACGATGGCCGATACTCTTCCAACAGCAACAACAACAACATCATCAATGGGTTGAAGAAGTTTAAGGCGACCAACAGCAGCAGCAGCCATTACAACAACAACAACGGCAGCAGCATCAGCTCAAAAGTTGGCAGTGATGGCATGAAGTCCAATGGCGGAACCGGCAGCCACAACGGCCACAATGGCCACAACAACCTCAACAGCAGCAGCAACCCCCAGCAACAGCAGCACCCGTACAGCAAGTACACGCGCATTCAGTCGGCGGAGCAGCTGGCGGCCTACCGCGCCGACTTCTACGCCGAGTTTCCCGAGTACCGGAAGCAGTTTGAGTACGTGGACGGCGTCTCGCGGGAATTTGAGCGCCTGAGGGAGGTGGTCCTCTCCAAGGACGAGGACTCGGAGGAGTGGCAGGTAAGAAAGGGCTTTGAAAGAGCAGTTTGGACATCTTTTTCAAACTTGCTATTTGTTTAGGATGCCGTCCGCCAAACGATAGTGAAGTACGAGGAGGTGAAGAACGACTCGCGCTTTTCGTGGGCGCAGAAGCGGTTGCAGCACCTGCACAATAAGCTTCTCCACATTAAGAACCTCATCATTGAGTACAACCAGCGGCATGGAGGTGGGGCTCTAAGTGCTGCCAGTGGACATGGTGGAGGAGGTACCTCGGGTCATGAGGCGATGCCAAGGCTCTTGGGTGGTGGTGGTGATCGCGGTGATCGCCGCCCTGCATTCTGAAGAAGTGCCCAAACAAATACCACTGTACTGAAAAAAGCATTCAACAAACATTTCTCTACTCTATTGCATAAAGTCACTCAAACTTTAAAGCTCAGTTGGACTGATGCTGCTGCTGGGATGGTTAAAGCGATGATGATGGTTGAAATGTGGTGGTGGACAACAAACCAACTCCTTCTGATATTGCAATATTGCACAAAAGTCTCTGTCTCTGTTTTTCTCGCTCCCGAATACCAAACACTTAGACAAGCAAGCAAGCAACACATTTTCCGTTCTCAATGTTTTGATTTTTGTACACACCACCTCCTTCCGCTCTTCCTTCCACTCACAATGTTTCCAATGTTCCAAGCTAGTCAGGTCACCCCCAGAACACTACTACCACCACCACCACCACTATCAGCAACATCATCGTCACCGTCCCAACTAATGTTATAGCAGCAGCCATCATCAGCAAACAGGGCCCCCCTTCCGAACCCGGTCCCCCTCCTCCTCCTTCCCACTATATTATTATTCACTTTTTTATTTACTTCAACCTTTATCTGTTAAAAACCGTACATATAATATTCAGTAATTGCACTTTGCTGAGTACTTTCTTTCTCTCCTTCCTTCAAATCTCACTCAGTTTTGGTTCTTACTATTTTCCTACGGTGCTCTCCCAGTTAACTCTTCTCCCTGTGGTACGCAATATTTGCCCCCTCCCGAAACACATCTGTTCACCCCAAGCAAGCCATCAACGGTTTTTGTATGTATCATCGAGTGCCATCACCCCCACATAACTCCTGCAGTGATAATTCTCCCCTTTCAGTACCACTTCATCACCCCACTTCTTCTTCCTCTGCTCTCTTCCATTCTCAAAGGTTCCTTCTTCTCTTGTTTTCTCTGTTTTTGGGAGAAGGTGGTCCACTTTCTCCCCAAGCAATGTTTTGTTGTGTAACCACCACATTGATGATCCTTCCTTCCACATTCTTCTTCACAACACTCACCACACTTGCTCTACTCTTTCTCTCTACTTTTAGACTGATTACGCTGACGCTGATTAAACAAAAAAATGTGATAAACAAAACCCCAGTAATAGTATTGTTGTTACTCGTCAAACAATATGATGATGCTGATGACGATGATGATAAATGATGATGTTAACCCCTTTCCTTAAACAAACAAAAAATAAAAAACGGTCGTTACTATATTTGTTTATATGTTCAAAGTGTGTGTGTCTGTTAGGTTATAAAGAAAGAGAATAATTTTGTCTACTGAAGAATAAAGAGGGAGAATGGGGGTGAACGCTTGGTTTTTATGGCCTTCGTTGATGATTTCAAGGCCGTTTACGGTTTTGTTGGTGTTTAGGTCGATCTTCAAACGACGGTCAAACGATGGCGGTGTTTGTGATTGTTGCGGTTGCGGTTGGTGGTGGAGTGAAAGCGGTTCGAGGGAAGGCAAAAGAGAAGGAGCAGGAGCAAAAGAAGATAAAGAAAGAACAGAGCGAAGATAATATAATAACTGAAGGAGGAAATCATGGAGGAGGATAAATGTGAGATAAGATGCAGAAGAAGTAAGAGAGAGAGAACTTAAGAAGTAAGGTGTAAAGTGCGAGAGGAGAACTTTTTGTTGTTGTTGACGCTTTGAGAACCGTTTCGATTCTCAAAATGTCACTTGGTAATAATTACTGTGTTGTCGCTCTTTAGTCGTGCTTGGCTGTAAGAATTGCAAATAAGAATGGGCTGTTAGTTTTTTTCGAAAAAAATTGAAAAAAGAAAATGACTGACCACTGTCAACGATGTTTTTGACGGTGTCCTTTGCCTTGCCCAGCGCGGCGTCAATCTTGCCGTGGTTGGAGAGGAAGAAGCGCTTGATGTAGTTCCGGTAGAGGTACACGGCGCCATTGTTGACGGGGCTGAAGCACCAGACGAGGAAGACAACCTGCCAACAAAGGAAAAAGAAGAAAAGAAAGGGAAAGGGGAAAAAACCCTGATGTTAGTGACGTTCTACACACTTCTACACTTTGGTCGAGTTTAGTGTTCAGTTTAGATTAGCAGTAAGAGCGCCCAGATTTAATAGCCAGGCGTTGCGATGCGATGCGATATGAGGAGAGGAGTGAGAGCGATGTCTGTGACTGTTTCTGTCTGTCTGTTGCTAAAAATAGGTGTACCTTAGCGAGCCAGTAGAAGGGGAACCAACTGAGGAGCCATCCGCTGAAGAAGTCAAAGAGGCTGAAGAGCGCAAAGACTACCCAGTAAGTGAGCCACTTCACGTCGTCGTCCGTCTGATGTGTCTCCAGGGCGGCGATGCTGTTTAGTAGTGAGAAATAGAAGGAGGAAAAGGAATGGAATGAAACGATCGAGTTCTCGAAAGATCTCTTACAGAAAAAACAGCACTNTGTGAGCCACTTCACGTCGTCGTCCGTCTGATGTGTCTCCAGGGCGGCGATGCTGTTTAGGAAGGCGGAAAAGGAGAAAGAATGGAATGAAGCGATCGAGTTCTCGAAAAATCTCCTTCAGAAAAGAAAGCAGCACTTACGACTTGTAGGCGGGGTAGACGAAGCCGACCAGGTTGCAGACCAGCTGGGCAAAGTACCCGAAGATCATGTAGAGGGAGAAGAGGCCAAAGACGCCTGTTGAAATGTGGTAGAAATTGGTTAGGTTAGAGATGACAATGCCTAATCTCTAAACAACAACGCACCTTGAGCGATGTAGATCCGCTTGACGCCGGTGAGCGACTCAATCTTGGTGGCGTAGTCGTTGACCGGGCCGGGCGTCTTCAGGTACTTGTCGACGCCGTCGACGACCTGCTGGTACTTGGCTGACATGATGAAGAGGTGAAGAGGGTGGTGGTGGTGATGGGTGACGAGGTAACAAGCTGGACACTGACTAAAGAAGAAGTCTTCTCGGTACAAACGGCAAGAGGTGATGAATGGTCAGTCAGAGAGAGAGTCAGTCAGTCAGTTGCTAGCGGTGTCGCTGTGGAGTGGTGGAAAAGGAAGAGAGGAGATGAGGTGGAGGAAAAAATTGTGAGTTGTGAGTAGTATCAAACAGCATAAAAAACTGTGTATGTATCGTCTGGTGGCGGTGATCGTGGTGGTCGTGGTAGTGGTGGTGGTGATGGTGTAATAATTTCCAGACACTCTCTCTCTCTCTCTCTTGCGACTCCCTTAGTGCTTAGTTGCGCAGCAACAAAGCACACTTACTCACTCACTCAGGCTAACCAATAACTCTCTCTCTGGCTCTGCGACGAGGCTCGTTGAGATTCGCAGCTTGCACTCTCGCACTCTCTCCCGTTCTCCTCAGCTCCCCTGACTCACGTTTTCTCGCTGCTGCCATTACTACTGCTGCTCAACGAATTTCCATTCCCCAGGAGAAAGAGAGTGTGTGAGGCGCGCGCCACTGAAAAGTGCGATTGGCTGTGGCACTGAGAGTACTGAACGGTGGCAGCGGCAGCTGAACGGCGGTGTGGTCTGGTCTGGTCTGACAGTGCCACTGCCTCTTCGGCTGTGGTCTGGCCAGCAGCAGCAGCGGCCTCAGCAGCGACTTCCTCGACGGCGGAATAAGCAAAGACGCAAAGATAGACAAAAGTACAACGGCGCACAACAATGGTCGTACAATGGCAGTGCTGCAATGCTGTGCTGACCGGACACTGTACAAACAACGGCAGTACATACTGAGATGCCTGCCTGCAGATACGAAATTGTCAGGTCGTGATGGTGGTGATGGTGGTGGCAGTGGCAACGACAGTGCAACAGTAGTGGAGGTACTTCAGCTGAAGGCCAACTTGGCCAACAACTGTGCGAGAGAACGGTGCACTGAAAAAAAGTGCATTGGGCGCCTCTTGGTGATCACTGATCAGTAAAGCCATCATCGAATTTTCAATTTCTAATTGACTGTCATTGTGTGCTTTTGGAAGCTAGAAACAAAGAGATGGAAAAGAATAGATTAGCAGCTAATTTGGATAATTGTTGGACCGCTGAATAGTTCTAAATTGTAGAGTTTTGTAGTATTTTGTGTGGAGTGCTTCAAGAGTGCTGGGTGTCCAGCACCTTTGCCTTCTATCCTCGAAAGGCGTTCTTCTCATTACGAATGGCCGCCATAGTCGCCACTGGATCACCCCCGGTCACTCCAGCGTGCGCCTGGACAGTGGCCTCAGTAACTCGCATGAAGGGATTGACCGCCTTTTCGGTGGCCACCGTCGAGGGCACCGTCGGCCGCCCCTCCGCCTTGCACTTCACCGCCGTCTCCAACAGGCGGTCGATTGCCTCATTCTGCGGCTCGACGTGCTTCGCAAACTTCAGATTACTCAGCGTGTACTCGTGGCCGCAGTAGACCTTGGTGTGGTCGGGAAAGCTGCCGATGATCTTCACCAGATTGTTGTACATCTGCTCGCCGTTCCCTTCGAAGAACTTTCCGGCGCCGGCGATGAAGAGCGTGTCACCTGATGGGAGGGGTGGGTGTAAATAGAAATAGAAACTCTTGGTCAGTTTTTTGGGTTCGATTTTGATGATTTGATAGCATTTCTTACCGGTAAAGAGCGAAATGTCCGCCTCATCCGTCGAATTAGTGACCTTGTAGCAGATGTGTCCTCGCGTGTGACACGGCGTGTGGTAGCAGTCCACGGTGACACCGCCGAAGGTGACCCGGTCGCCGGTGGTGACAATCTGCGTCACCGCCTCTACGCGGTCCTCGCCGCCGAGGATGCGAAGCTTATCATCATCCTTAAAAGTGGAAGCCAACTCCTTGTTCCCCCCGGCGTGATCCCAGTGGTGGTGGGTGGTGAGCACGGTGGTCAGCTTTACCCCCGCCCCGAGCTCTTTCACCTTCTCGAGGACGGTACTCGGCTGGACCGGGTCGACGACGGCCGCCTCCCCCGACTTTTTGTCCACCAGGAGGTACATGTAGTTGTCCTCAAGGGCGGGCA